ATATTATATTCTTTAATTTACTTGCATCATTTATTGATTGAATTCGATAGAGAATATTTGATCTAATAAAATTCATTGATTAAACATAATAAACAATCATAAATTTTTCTTACATCATATCCATAACAGCAGCTACTGATTCGTCTTGTATTTGTGCTTGTTGAACATGTATACGTTGATGAATTGTTAAATTTGCATCAAATCTATACAAAAAAAAACAATTATCAAATAACTAAAACAAAAAAGAAAACAGTTATAAAAATTACTAACTGATAAAGTTTAAAAAGTACACCATAAATACATGCACCTACTTCATCCATATTATCTACTGATAGATCATTACATAAATACTAAAGAATAAATTTTATAAATGAATTTAATCATGATTATTAAATATTACATAGCTGATAAATATATGATGTTGTTCAATAAAGTTTTCAAATAATTTTATTTCATTTCGTGTTGTATTTAAAAATTCAGCTACAACAATAATACAATTGAATGGAAAAAAAATATAAAATTATTTTTTAACTTACGAACAGGAAAATAACATTGTATTAAAATACATTGTTGATTATTACATTGTTTAAATTTCTCTTGAGAATCATCGGTTGCAACAACATTTAAAAATAAAAAAATTATCCATAACATGTTTTTGTTTTGTTTTTTATTATCTAAAAAAAAACAGAAACAGATTTTCTAAAGTTTCTAATTTTTTTTTTAATGTAAATGAAGAAAAAAAAAACATTCTATTCGTTAGGCGTGACATTTAATGAAGGTGGAGATGGACGTTTTAATTGATTTTCACGCTCATGAGCAACAAAAGATTCGTCGAGATATCTTAAACCATTACATCGTCGTCCGGTTAATGGATCTTTAATACGACCAAGTTCATAAACAATTTCACTTATTTCATAACGTTCTAATGGATAACGACATTCAAGTGTTGGTCGTTTTTTTAATAAAACTATATCACCAACTTTTGTTTGTTCACGTTTATCAAATGCTTTATAATCAAAACCTAAAACATAAGAAAAAAAAAAACAGATTTTCTGAGCGAGGAGTTTTTCAACAAATGAATTTTGAAAACAAAAAATATCGCGCTGAAAAATCGAAAATCTATTCATTTGTTTTTGGTTATTTTAGTTTCTGGATGTCGATATCTGTTTTTTTTTTCGTCTTAGAAAATTGAATTTGTTCTAGCAGCTGATATTATTCTCATGATTCGTTTCATAATGTTTGTCTTATTTTGATTAATTCTATTTTTCTACGAAAAATAACTTACGTTGATTGAAAAACATATCAAATTTATCATCAAGTTTCATTTGTAATACTCGTACAATAGCTGTTGTTGTATTACTTTTTGTTAATACTCGACCAATAAGTAAACTTGGTAAATTGACTATTTGTGTTGTCATTTACTTTTTTTCTTTTTTTCTTTTATCTAAAACAAAAAATAAACAAAACAAAAAAAAAGAATTTATAATCGAATATTTGGATCAACATTTTGTGCAATTTTTCTCCTTCGATGTCGATCAGGATTATAATCAGATAATGTATGCCATATAGTTGGTTTATCTTCTACATTTCTTAAAGCTAATGATTTATCATTCAGAATTGTTAAACTAGTTTCATCATCATTATCATCTTCATCATCTATATTATTATACATATCAAATTCACTCATCCAATTACGTCTTTCATTTCTTTCAATAGCCATATTAACTTTTGACCAATTTTTTCGATTTTTATCCAATGTTAAATATCGTTGAAATTCATTATCAAATGTTTCATATTTAAGTGAATCAATAAATGCTTGATAATCATCTTTACGTAAAAGATTATTTGTTGTACGTTTTAAAAATGTTGATAAACTTGTATTAAATATATCAATTAAATTAATATTTAAATCACGTTGTAAAACATATTCTTCTTCACGTCGAACACGTTTAAATAAACCAGCACGATAAACAAATAAATATCGTTGACGTATATGATCAATTGTATATGATAATGCACCTGATTCAACAATATCACGTGTTGAGGCAAATAACATAATACGTAAATAATTTATTTTATAATCAAGATCAAACCAATTTTCACTAAATAATTTTTTATGTGTACGAATTAATTTATATATTTCACGTTTTGTAAAATAACATAATAAAACATCTAAACGTTCACGTAAATAATTTAAATCATATTGAATTATATTTGGATCATTTGATATTAATATTGAACGTGTTGTTGTATCAAATTTTAATGTTAGAAGATTTTCAAAACATTGTTTTAAATTTTCATTTGTTATTATTATTTTATCAGTTGATGGAAGATTAATTAATAAACGAAGAACATCAATTGGTTGTAAACCATATGAACCAAGAATATTTATTAAATCATAAAATTCTCTTGGTGACCATGTTTGAAATGAATTTAATAGATGTTGAGATATATTTGATGATAGACGAGTTTTTATTGAATCAGATAAATATTGTATTATACGAATATTAAATGAAGAATCAGGAATTAATGATAAATTAGATCCATCAGTTGGATATATTTCTGATGTCATATCAAGCCAATTATGACGAAGAATAGGTGTTGTTGATGAAACATGTTTCTTTTTTGATGAAGCATAACGAACTAGATTATAATAATCAAATAAGTTTATTGGTTTTTGAACTGAAAAATGTTATATGGTTAGAGCCTATTGGGTTCTATGCAGAGATCCGATGGATTCTAGATGTAGTACTCTACGTTCTAAACGTGGTATCTTTTTGAACATTTATTTTTCGAAAATTTTCCTATAACTCTTAGTACTATTTAAAGATACTTGAATATTGAATACGAAAATATCAATACCTGTTGATAAGCGAATGATATGATAACATCGAAGACGAATAAAAGATAACATGTCTAAAATAAAGAAGGTAGCTTTATTAATTGAAATTGTTTCTATTGTTTGAATAATTATTGTATGAGATATAATTAAGAAAAATAGAAGTTTTTCTAATTATTATAGTTAGTTAAATAAAACTTTTTCTTTTATAGAAAAATTCACAAAATAATATGATAAACAAATAATCTTTTTTGAAATTATAAATCTTTGTTTTTTTTTTTTTTCTTCTTTTCTACAAAATATTTTGAAACAAGACAATATTCTATAGAAAATATATAGTTCTCAAATTCGTTTATTCTAAAATGCGAATAGTAAATTAAATGAGAAGATACATTTGACGATAGTGCTTTGAAAATTGTCATACACAACCAAATGTTTCAAAAAATTCTCTTGTGCTCAATCGTCTTACTTGAAAAGTTCCTGAATAATTCAAATCCATAATTGTTTTTCTCAACCAATAAAACGCAAAAAAACAAACAAGAATAAAGATAATAGTTTATATAGAAGAATAAAGATCCACATTTGTTGACAGATGAGCATAGACTTGTAAGAAATAGAATGAAAGATAGCATTGTTTGCTTTCAGACAAAAAAAAACAAAGAATATAATATAGAACTACATTGAGCAAAAAAAAAACCCACTGCTGATTGCATCGAACAAAGTTTTCTATCTATACACATTGTAAATGGACGAACGAACTCGATATTCTAGCAAGAAGAAAATTAATAGTTCTTATTGATGTTGAAATTTTAATTGATGTTCTAATGAAATTCTTTTATCAATTAAATCAGTTAATTCATCTTCCCAATGTTTTAAATGTGCTTTAAGTATTGAATTACGAGATTTGATTTGGTTTAATGTTGTATCAAATTGATCATTTGTTATTGTTGATGTCGATATAATTGATGATAATTCTTGTAAATAATCTGGCTTAAGTAAAGCACGTATTTGATCAAGTAAAATATTTGGATCTGATTGTTGTTGAGATGTTGAAGAAATTGTTGGATGTGTTCGATTATAAAAATATGGTGTTGTATTAGTTGATGAATTATTATTATTATTATTATTATTTGGATTTCGTTGAGGTGTTTCATGAACACTTATACGTGGTGGAACAATTGGTTGTTGAGGTATGTCAATAGATGCTGTTCGACCAGGTGCACGTGGTGGAGGCGGAGGTGGTTTAGTTGTGGTTGGAACAGAAGGTGGAGGTGGAGGAGAAAGACGAAGAGCTACGGGAGCCATTATTCGATGATTATCTGCAATTGGTTGTGCAAATGTAAATTGTTTTGGTGAATCTGTTGTTGGTTGAAAATTTGCCCAATTGTCTGTTGATGTTATATCCGATAGATCAATAAGTGGTATAAATGGTTGTAATTGTTGTGGAAGTTCATCGGGTAATTGAAAACCATTAAGACGTAAAACAACAAGATGCATTGCTGTACAAAATTCTCCTAATGATAATGCACCATCATGATTAACATCAGATAAATTCCATATTTGAGATAATTCACTTGTTGGTAAATTTGAACGTTCAAAAAATTCTTTTGCTATTTGACCTATGAAAAAAATAGAAAAAGATTTTTTTATTTTTGATAGAATTAAACTTTTTATTACCATTAATAACTTTCGTAGTATCTTTTTGTAAATTTTGAAATTGTTTTGTATAATATTCACGTTGTACTGTATTTATTGTCCATGGATCTTCTATAAAATCTTGTTCACTTTCATCATCATCGGATACTGGTGATGATGACGATGATGATGAAGATGATGATGATGATGATTCATTATCACTTGAACTTTGATGATGTTTATCATGATTAGCATTTGTTGGTTTTGTTAAATACATAATCCAATCTTTTTTTAATGCTGACGGTTGATATGTTTGATTAATTGTATCATTTAAACGTGATGTATTAGAATTAACTAAACCTTTTCCTTCATCATCTGATTCATTATAAGATAGATGTTGAATACTATCTGATTGTGAACTAAGAATTGATATTGTATCAATATCTAAACGTGGATGAATATCAGGTATTGATATTCCAGGATGACGAAGTGTAACGCCATCACTAGTTGTCATTTTGAATATATTGTATTTTGTTTATTCACCGGTGCAAGAAAAAAGATCTAAAATATAATGTTAAATCAAATAGAAAAATAGTCAATAGTATGAGAATGATTCATTATATTCTTAGTCTTTTTATTAAATGGCTAAACGATCAACGAAACACAACATAGATTATATCTACTGTGCTAATTGAGACCATATTTGGAAACTATGAAGTCTTTATAGATGACTCTAGTTATCGATAACATTCTAATCATGACTACCATTTGAATTTTTTCACATTCATTGAAGAAAAGTTTAAAATTAGTTATGTTCATCATAAAAGATATGTGAAGACGCTTAAAAAGGTAAGTTTTAGATGTGGAAAAACGTTGAAAAAGTTTTCTCATAGTATTTTTTAATATATAGCACTGATGAAAAAAAATTTTGCATGTTTTTCAGATATCAAAGTTGTCATTTTAATGTATCTTCATGTACCTGAAACCTATTTGTTCTTGCACTTTTTCATGGACATAAAAATATTCAAAACGAAAACTGTGATTATCACATTAAAACGAAAAATATCCTTGACTCCTGTAATATAGCTTTTACTTACCATAAATAATTACTTGAATTTCTACGTCGTCAATGATTTTAAACAAATATGTTTACATTATGCTTATTATAACTTACAATTGATGAATCGACATGTGAAACATTGTTCTTGTTATTATATTGTGATTGTACGTGTTATTGTCTTTATCTATATATCACGCGCGATGGATTTTTTCGGTCGTTCGATATAATGAGCTTTTTATTTTTATCAATAGCGCAATACTGTCTAAGCACGTTTTTCTTTTTTTTCTTCTTCTTAATATTATTCACTTCCTCGTGAGAAAAACAAATTCTTATATATAGTCACTCAACAATTATAGCTTTGAATAAGTCGAACTAATCATGCTGCATTGTTTCTTTATTCTTACATAGTTGTCCTTAATGAACTCCATTAAATGTGAATACTATAATTCTATTCTGCAGAAAATGATAGTGTGATGACATGAACATTATTATTTTCTTCTTCTATGCCTGATTTCCTCTAATAATTAGAAAGAGAAAAAAAAAAGATAATACATTGTTACAGATTGACAGTCTAAAACAGAAAATAGGTCATAGAAAACTTATGGAATTTAATCACGTAGTATACTATTGATCACATCTTCTATCTATAAAAAGAAATTTCTCGTAAGCATTTTATTTTTATTAAATATTAATTAATATAATGAGAGAATAGCTTTAAAAAATTCTTTAAAAAAAGCAAAAGATTAAAAATACAAATTTATATATATATTAATTAACATTGTGTTTGTGACCACTTTGGATTCAATGTAGTTCCAGTAATTTTATAACAATAATTAAACATAGCAGAAGCAAATTCTTGTTTAAAAATACTTTTATAAACAGCAATAAAAGCAAGTGTTTTGCATTCAAGACGATTCCATACAGCAGCGGGAGGAACATTCATTGTTGAACATTGAGCAACAGGAAATAATCCTGTATCATCACGACGAATTTGAAACCCATAATATGGAGCGCGCGATTCAAGGTAACATTTTGCTAGATAAGCACCATTATTACATACACGGATAAACGCATCAGTCGGAAAGATACTATCTAAAGAAAAAAAACAATAATTAAATTCAAATTTTATTTATAGATTCTTTTAATGTAATTACTAGAAATAAGAAGTAGACTAATGACGAAATATTTCAACATGTTCTTTTAAATGCAGATATGATTTTGATAGAAAAAAAGAACTGTGTACGACTACTTATTGATTAAAATTAATTGTTTCTCTACATACATATTCGATTACAAATAAAAGAGAGGAAATAAAAGTACTAGACAAAGAAGAAAGAATAAGTTTACTCATTATTTTCTTATTTTCAACTTAACAAATGATGGTGATCAATTTGAAATCATATTACATCATGTTATCTAAGATACCGAATAAATTAAACACACTTTTTTTTCGCCGTTTTTTTTATTTTAAGAGATGTTAAACAGTTTGTTACCATATTGAATAGGTCTTTTTTTTCTAAATTTGAATACATATTCTTCTATCTTACGGTAAAAAAATGTCAGTAGGAGTTTTTTGAAAGCTCATTCAATATGAGAACAAACATGTATGAAATACATTTTTTGATTACTTGATTAAATACATGTATTCCGTTTAGTAGTTTGATGATAATCAAATTAAGCTATTCAAGGTCTACCCCCTGAAAAAAAGTCAATTTTCGTCAAAAAAAATGAAAAATAAGATAATTGCATGAGAAGATAGCTCGAGGTCTAATCTTTCATAAATTATATGATTTTTTATTCAGCATTTCCTTTTTGTTTTTGACTAAATCTTGGATGATTTCTGTCGTCATTCCGTTGACCAGCAAGCGATTTTTAGAAAAACCGGAAAAGTTTTTCGTTTTTTCTGTTTATACTTTTTTTGATCACGCAATTCAAAATTACCTGTGAATTCTCATTTTTTATCTTTTTTTGTTTGTTTGAAAAAGTATGTCAAGGTGTAGTGCAGTAGCGAGTCCTTTTTATAAACGAAACGTTGTTTTTATTATATATACAAGTACTGATATAAATAGACACACATTTTTAGAGGCTGTTTGAGTCACTGCACTTGTCATACATTTTCTCCACTTAAAAAGTAAGAATTAGAAAAATTGCTCTATACTTCACTGCATCATGGCATGTTCTTGCAAACAAAAGAACATCAAATATATAGAATAAGCCTTGACAGAGAAATTTGATTTGCTAAATAAGCTAATTTTTACCCTTGTTTGGTAAATATGAGAGAGGAATGGTCTTAATTGTTTATCTCGTTCATCAACATTGAATATGTTTGACGCTCGATCGGAATCAAAGAGCTATTTCAGATTGAAATATTTTTTTGTTATTTTATGATGTTTATTTAATGATCTTGAAATAATGTATGGAAACAGCTAATTTTTTTGATAGATTCAAAGATCTACGATATATTTAATTATAATCACACGATATCTTCTGAAACCTTGAATCAAAGAGAAAACAATGAACTTTGTGAGCGAAGTCTCCATTGTTTTCTTCTCATCTGAGATCGAGTCACTATTCACAAGTGCAGAGCCAATCAATGAAGAAGATGTCACTTCTTACAGCAAAAAAAAACATTTGTTGCTTATTTTCTTCCATGTCTACAAAATAGAGGCAAACAGGTAGCTGAATGTGAGAGCTTTCTCCAATTCAATATATCCAACTCATTACATTCGATGAAAAGAAATTTTTAAGAAGATTTTTACAAACAAGTTAATAAGAGAACCTCACGAGATGTCTCCTTCTGGCTCCAATGATTTTTTTGCCTCTAAATACTACAGTGTTTTAGTAAAATCTCGAAAACGATTTGGATTCCTATTGAGGTTTAGCAAAATTATCAAATTATTGTAATATGTCTATTTGCAAAAGATAGTCTAAAAATTCTGGCACTCTCCATACAAATATGTGTGTGTGACATTATCAAGTGAAAGAAGCTTCTGGACTAAATTTAAAAAGACAATTTTCTCGAAAATCGGAAGTCCTACTGAGATCTCTTGAAAATACACATATTAAAAAATTCAATAACTTCGCTAAATTTAAATAGGAACCCAAACCCTTTTAGAATTTTCATCAGAACACTGTGGTACTTATAGAAAATAACATCGAAATTGAAGGACATATTTGGGAAGGTTTCCTCGTAGGTTTCAAAAGAATGATCATAAAACAAAATAATAAAAACTTTTTTCTTTATCATAACCACTTAATTAAAACTCACCTCTTCGATCACGTCGAACGAACACATTAATTTTGCGTTCATTATAAATTAAAAAAAATGTTCCTTATTGCAGTACAAATATAGAAAAGGGTGTGGATGTCGATGAGAGTGAAGAAAACAAACACCTATGTATCCACATCTTTAGTGTTAACTGATCTTATTTCATTTTCTTTTGACATTTAGAAGAAATTTGAGTATAGGTCTCAAACCACATTCATTATAAACTGACTGGCTAAGCATTACTATCGAATTAATTCTTCCAACCGCGAAGTTTTTATTGTTAACAACGTTAGCTCATTCAAAAGTCATCAATCTGCAGTGAACATGCATGTTGCAGTAATATTTATTCCAGTCGAGGAACTGAGCCGGCCTAATTCATTATCATCAACTTCATGTATTTTTTCCACCTATTCGGTTCTATTTACATTTTGCATCATATAGTAAAACAATTATTCGTCGCATCGATGTTGTTCAATAGTCACAAGCATTCATCTTTAACATTAATGCATTTAAAAATGTGCTCAATTCTACAAGTCATCTAGTATACTTTCAGTTGTTCAGTTTCGAAGTTTACTTGTGCGATAGGACGTCCATCATCGACTGTTTATGACTTAGTATATCTTAATAGTTTTGTACGGTTAGGTGCAAGACTACGATGACACGAGAACTCAAAATTAAAATCAGTGGCCAACAAACGTAGACAAAAGACCAATCGGTAAAAGTGAACAGTTACGACATTAGTATATGTATATAGCTGTAAGTGTTAAGTACTTATGTCTCTATGCGAAAATTAGATTTTTTAAACTCACTTTATTTTCGAAACAGAAAGATGTATGTTATCTTTTGTTTTATTTTTCTGGAAGTCGAATTGATAAATTGTTTCAATGTTTGAAGTATTTGAATTTTCGAGCGTGCCAATGATCAAGATTACTCAATTTCATTTATGAGATTTCTCAATATTAATTAGATATATCCAATGCTACAAGATAATATTCCATCATGTACATTTCTGTAGGACACTTTTTCAATTATGAAAACAAATCATGCACTTGACAAATTAAGTAGGAATCTTATTACTCACACAAAAAACTTAGTTTTATTACTATTCATGTCGTGGTACATCTAATTTACTTCTTTCATCTACTAATCAAATATTCATCTCCAAGCTAACTTTAAACAATCAATTTATTGCTTATCGAATGGTACCTGATGCTGACAGTACAAAAGATACTGCAAAATATTCTGCTTATGGTAATTATTTGACAAAAAACACAGAGATTCAGGAATATAAGCAATTTATTGTAAAAAGTCCATCTTATTTATGGTAACTGTATTTATTATTTAACTGTAACTTTAGTATGCGAATGTTAGAGATTATCTTCATTATACAATTTATTAACATATATATGAAATATAATTCTATAATACGTTCTCTTATGAATAAAACTATTTCATATGAAATTATCGAATAGATTTCATTTACCATTGCTAATTCTGTTTATACACATTTAAACCATGTCAGTCATATTTAAATGTTTGTTGTTCTTAGAAGAAAAAATGGCTCATTATTCAGTCTCTACTTTTCTATTTTAGATTTGTTTCATTGTCACGTGCGCGATATAAGAAAACTAGATAAAATAGATGTTAATAAAATAGATTATTTTTCTATCAAAGAATAAAGTATTAGTCTTTTAAAAATACAAAACAAGAAATATTTCTATTGTATTATGGTTCGAAAAAGTTCTCTTTATTTCTACAAGAAATATTTTACTTGTTCAGCAAATGTTTTGTAAGTCTTTTTTTGCGCCTAGTGTTCATTCATCATTGAACAAAAAATGCTCGAAAAGTTTATTCAACGTTTTGTTCTGAAACGGTTCATTTAAGAGAAGTTCTGCCAAATAAGAATTAAAATTTTGTTGAGACTTTAGACTACAATCGATCGAAGTATTCGATTAAACAGTGTGTTTGATTCTGTGGGTAATTTAATTGACTGAGGTTAAGAGCGTTGAATATTGCTATGTACCACAACTGTTGTCTTACGGATGAGCCGTTATATTGATACAATTACTGTTAGCAAACAAATATCTCATAGTTACATCCAAGACATTTGGGAATACACATTAGGAATCTAACCATGTCGCCAATTTTTCATAAAAAAATCGCCAGTTCGTTTGGTGTACTCCTCTCTTTGTCGAGTTTGTTTTCAAAGTTCCACTGAAGAAAAATCTTGTATTTTTATGAAGCCGATTGCTACTTAAAAAAGTGCATCTTAATATGCCAAAGATGACAGATGTGCCAAACTTTAGTCTATAGGGTAAGCCTTGTTTCCAATCGATAACTATTATTGTGACACTAATCTATAGCAAATTATCAAACTTGGAAACTAAGTGAAAACAGCCGTTATGGCTAGTACAAGCAGCTTGAGCGCAATCAGAATAATAACCTATGTCGGCTATTCTTTGTCAAAATCAACGGTTAACTACGCTTATTAAATAAACCAACGGATTCATGCCGTTTTCTTCTCTTGTGCCAATTTTTGATTATTTTTGTTTATATGAATATGGTTTCATCGATCGTAAAAACATCAATTTGATCCCAAAAAAGACAATTTCTATGTGATATAGCATGGTTTGTTAGATGACGCTGCAATTATGTCTAGTGGTTGTGTCTTTTGTAGGCATGCACCGAGCTCAAAGTTTCCGGGTTCGGTCATTCCCGGGCTCGGTGTTTCCGATACCTAAAACATTAGATTTCGTGATTCATGTACTTTGGTCTGCATTAGGCATCCATAGAAGCCAGGTATGACAGAACCCGGGAATGATCGAGCTCCAGAAACTTCGGGCTTGGTATTTCCGGTATGCTCTTGGCTTCTCCGAGTGTCTAGCAACGACCCAAATAAAAAAACACGCAATCCAGCATTTCAGGTACCCGGAATGACCGAACCCC